GTTACGGGTAAGGGTGCATATGTATGATGTTTGTTTTATTATTTCGGTGGCCATACTTGTTGTCTCTGCTACTGCTATGCTTGTGGATGATAGTGAGCTGGTTAGGTCTTTGGCTAGAGGGAAGTATGAAAGTGTTGAAGACATTGAGGAGCAATTGGGACGTTTTCAGATTGAAACGACGACTTGTTTTGCCCGAGTTTCCTCCGTGTCTGCGGCGGCGTACAAGCGTGGAAGGTGGAAGCAGTTGCCGGATGCGGATGGCTACAGTTACATCCTGTACCGTTGCGTCCATTGTCAACGTTCTGGATCGCGTGTCAAGCGGTGAGTTAATATTTATGCAACACGTAAACTAATGCATATAGATTCAAATCGTAGGATTGCAAGGCGCGAGTATCGATGGTTATGAAGGAGGGTAAATATATGGTGGGAAGTTACTTTATGATCCATAGTCATGATTTCCACCAGGGTAATCCGTGACTGTACGCACTGAACCGTCGGCTGTCACCGCGACAGGAGAAGGAAGTGCTGCGTTTGATGGGCAGTTTTCACAGAACGCCGGACTTGAGGCGCTTCATCTATCAGGAATACGGCAAACGTGTAACCCGTATGGACCTAAGTAATCTGCGCATTCGTCATCGAAATAGAACTTCATGTGAAGTTGCTGAGGTGGCAACGATGTTGGTAAGTCACGGTGTTTGCCGATTGTTGTCGGAGGGTAGCCACATTCGGTATGTGTTCTTCTATCCATCTGTTGTCCGTGGCGTGGTTAAGCATTATGGCGAGGTGTTATTGCGCGATGCGACACGCCAGTTAAATTATGGTGGATACACATTGTGGCAGTGCATGTTCGCGGACGTCACAGGTCTAGGGATTACTTTTTTCTACGCCCGATTACCGGATGAGACGTCTTACAGCTATGGGCAAGCGGTGGAGGCGATGCGCGAGATGGTGCCTAACAGCATACGTTGACATGCGGTGGTGATGGATAACTGTGTGGCTCATTTGCGGGCGCTTCTGCGTTTCTGTCCCAACGCATAGATCGTGTTTTGCCGGTACCATGTTAAAGTGGACACGGCTAGACATTGCGGTCGCATCCGTGGGATATCAGATACCCGCAGAATGCAGTTACGCGCGTTGCTGCATAACCTAATATATAATCGTGATGCGTCGGTATTTGAAAGAGTATTGAACGCGTTGCGACTGGGTAATCCGGAATGCTACCGGTATTGGTGTTCAACATGGCTCCAACACACTGACACTTGGGCGGCTCACAGACAAAGGGATACTGTGCTTTTTGGATGCCATACGACAAACAGGGTGGAGAATTAGAACAAGCATCTGAAGGAGTATTTTTCGGGGAGGTCCTCCTTGCTCACTCTCTTCACCTGCGTCGTTGGTAGAATAAGCAGTATCGTGCACGAACGAAACAGTATAATAGCTAGGCGTTGCATGAGTGCTGTTTCTAATCTCTCGGAGGTGTCCTCAGTGGCTTCGGTTTTCCACAGCCCAGCGATTTCGCAGGGAATGTCTTCATAGCCCATTTTCGGGCCTCCACAGTTCTGAGTTGTCGGTCTGATGGGCCTTATTGGTTAGCTAACTGTCCTCGTTCGAAAGTGCGTCGGGTATATATAACACGCGGCAGTGAATGTGATTGCGAGTTCAGTCAGCTGTGGCGGCTCCCATGTGCTCAAATTTGTTATGTGGCGGGGCTTCACGGACATTTGGCGGAGGACATACTACGTGGATGCCGTTGGACTGCACCCCGACAATCTCCCGCAGGTACCTCTGACTGTGTTTCGGGGGATGGTGCTTTGCAGATTCTAGATCGTCAGGCTGCGGATATCAATGCGGTTGTAAGCCGTTCCATAAAACTGCGCAAGACACAGGTGCTGTCAGGTGTCGGCACGCCATTTTGCAACTACGGCTCGGAGAACTTCTCCGGGGCGTTGAGGTTCTTGGAAATGGTTGCGCTGCTGATTTCCAAGGAAGGCAGTTTTCAGTCGTATGGTCGCACGTCGAAGTTCCCTGTTCCCCTTCTCCTGGATCCGGAGACTAACGTTAGGATGTTATGTGGCTTACCAACGCCGGGAACGTCGCATGACGGCACAGCGGTTGCGGTGGCGACGACGTCGGGAGGAGCTGCGCCGGAACCCGTACAAGCAACAGAGGTGAATGACGTCCGTTCCGAAATTTCAACGCAAAGCCGGTTCCATCCACATCCGCAATAGAGTCCAGGAAGCGTAAATCGCCCCTGAAGTGCCGCGTAATAGTGGTCAGCCCTAGTAAGAGTGCGCTGAGGGGAAAAGATTCCCGGAAGCTTCCCACAACCCCATCCTCCTCCTACAAGTTGCCCGTTAAACGGAAAATGGATATTCAGGGAGGCGGTTCCAAGGAGCTCTGTGGAGTCTGTCACCGGGAGGCTGATGTTCAAGGTCGCGAGGATGCCGTGCAGTGGGTTATGTGCGAGGCATGCTCCCAATGTTACCATGCTTCCTGTGTGTGCTATGCTGGTGACGTGGATTTCGTTTGCTTCCCCTGCTCGTCGTAGTGTCTGTGGAACCTACGGAAACGGCCTTGGATGACACGCCCTGCAAGTATGCTTCATTTGCACGCGCATCCATTTTGCCCTTTGTTGTTGAGGCGGACGGCATCGCGGTTTCCATTGATGGAAATCCGTGTAACTGTGAGATGAACAACGTGCCGTCAGAGCCGGAGCTGCGCTGCACTATTATGCGTCGGTAAGTTTCGCGTTCCCCCTAATGAACCATGATTCAGGTCCACATCATTGGGGTCCCATTTCCACAACCCAACTTCCCTGCCAGAGGTGTTCCAGTCCCTGGGACGTAATGTGATACTTGCATGATATGTAGCCACAGGTGGCAATGATTATGCGCAATGATCTCTGTTTCAGAACCACGGCGACGTTCGCCGCATATTGTCGTGATACTGCACCATGCCACTGAGCCTCCTCTCAGGTGATGTCGCCGCCTTGTGATGTCTCCTTGTCACATAGTCACAGGTGTCTAATTTTTTTCAACATAACTTCCCTTTCAGAGCCTCTGTGATACGCGGCACACATAGCCTTCCGACGTAACATCGCCACTCAGCCGCCTCCAAGGCATCGACTATGCCATGGGATGCATCATTCATACGTAGTCACAGGTACCATTTGTTATGTATGATGACTTTGTTTCAGAGCCACAGTTATATGCGCCGACCACTGCTTTCCACCTTTGCACCGCCGCACACCCTCTCCCAGGTATCGCCTCCGACATGTGATGCATCATTCATACGTGGTCACAGGTACCACTTGTTTTCCACGAGGACTTCGGTTTCAGAGCCACGGTTATTTGCGTCGACCACTGCCTTCCAACTTCGCACCGCCACTCACCCCCTCCCAGGTATCGCCTCAGTCACGTGATACATCACTGAAAGCTATCCACAGGTGACATTGGTATTCTACGATAATGTCTCTTTCAGAGCGACAGTGATAGGCCCCGCCAATGGCCTCTCGACGTAACCATGCCACTGAGCCACCTCCCAAGTATCGCTTCCGACATGTGATGCATCATTGAAAGCTATTCACAGGTGACAGTGGTCTTCTATGATATGCCCCTCCCATTGCCTTCCGACGTCAGGATGCCACTGCGCGCATTCTCACCTATCGCCTTCGCTTTGCCATGCCATGCCATTGCATCACCTGCTTCACCCGGTTCTCCATGACAGCAGGTAACTACGTTTACGGGAGTTGCTTTCCCTCCCACAGATATGGTACATACCGGCAGCTCCAAGCGTCGCAGCTCCGTTACCCATCGTCCGCATTAACAAGACATCCCCAGCTTCACATTGCCAAGTGAGTTAACCTCTCCATACTCCAATTTCACAGCACAGGTTACCTCGTCAATGAAGTGCGTCCCCTACGATTGGCAAATGAGAATTTGTCTCGGTCCTCCAACAGTGACAGGGATAACCTGTGCGGACCAGTTGGGTTACATCCCACCATTCTTTCAGAAATGTAACAACTGTGAACTTGTACAATAGACAATGCCATTGAGGATGAGACCAGGAAACGTTTTATAGAAAGCTCCCTTTGCTTTCGCTAACCTTCGCACGTATGGCGGCGGCGCGACATCACTGCCACATGGAAGGTTACAATGCACAAGTTCCACGGAAATGTCCCGCGACGTGTTGGAAGAATCCACAAACCATTTCTCAGTGTTCTCGCTTCATGGGTAACGGGCGATTAACCATCTCACCCGCAAGGTCGCGAATATTTGTGAATGGTTTAAACATCATATGGCACCATTGTATCAACTTTTCGTGGTTCAGTTAAAAAGCCACTTCATTTTCCTCCTATGAAGAATAACGCCACCGTGTATGTTCGACTCAGTGAGGCTTGCAGTACATGACTGCCAGAGTACCATTTCCATTTACCAGAGTTGAGGCATTAACCTCAATGAAACGCGTTGCAATACCAGAGATTAGTAACCTATTGTGCACGTCGCACACATGCTTGCCGTGTGCATTTGTTTCCCCATAGACTGTTCCGCTTCACCACTGCCATGCACCTACAGGCATAAGGTTCACTCCAGGGACTCATTTCAGCGTACATATATATGCACTGTACGTCACGTTTCCCCGTAAATGTTTGGGTAACCGCAACTTCTACCGTCGCACTTTGCGTATGGTTGCAATGGCCATGACGCCATACATGTCAGCCGTAAGGCATTGCTACAACTATGGCGTTAACCAGCATGCAGACCTAACATCTACATGTAACCTTCCTAAGTGCAGGGGCACTTAGGGTCTTCACAAGTTTACTCAGTCCGCGTGCACATCTCCTGTTCCCCATGCATGCCCTTTTCCATGCCTTGCCGTTCATCGCTCGCTTGGCTAGCGGTCTAATTTTGGCTTGCTTATTCCCTTCCATGACCTCGCTACTAAAGAAAAAAAAATAAAAAGAACGTTATTTATGGTAATTTTGTATTCTAAAACTGGTGTTAAGAACTAAAAAAAAAAAAAAAAAAAAAAAACAAAAAAAAAAAACAAAAAACCCCCCCCCCCCCCCCCCCCCCCCCCCCCCCCCCCCCCCCCCCCCCCCCCCCCCCCCCCCCCCCCCCCCCCCCCCCCCCCCCCCCGCCCCCCCCCCCCCCCCCCCCCCCCCCCCCCCCCGCCCCCCCCCCCCCCCCCCCCCCCCCCCCCCCCCCCCCCCCCCCCCCCCCCCCCCGCCCCCCCCCCCGCCCCCCCCCCCCCCCCGCCCCCCACCCCCCCCCCCCCCCCCCCCCCCCCCCCGCCCCCCCCCCCCCCCCCCCCCCCCCCCCCCCCCCCCCCCCCCCCCCCCCCCCCCCCCCCCCCCCCGCCCCCCCCCCCCCCCCGCCCCCCCCCCCCCCCCCCCCCCCCCCCCCGCCCCCCCCCCCCCCCCCCCCCCCCCCCCCCCCCCCCCCCCCCCCCCCCCCCCCCCCCGCCCCCCCCCCCCCCCCCCCCCCCCCCCGCCCCCCCCCCCCCCCCCCCCCCCGCCCCCCCCCCCCCCCCCCCCCCCCCCCCCCCCCCCCCCCCCGCCCCCCCCCCCGCCCCCCCCCCCCCCCCCCCCCCCCCGCCCCCCCCCCCCCCCCCCCCCCCCCGCCCCCCCCCCCCCCCCCCCCCCCCCCCGCCCCCCCCCCCCCCCCCCCCCCCCCCCCCCCCCCCCCGCCCCCCCCCCCCCCCCCCTCCCCCCCCCCCCCCCCCCCCCCCCCCCGCCCCCCCCCCCCCCCCCCCCCCCCCCCCCCCCCCCCCCCGCCCCCCCCCCCCCCCGCCCCCCCCCCCCCCCCCCCCCCCCCCCCCCCCCGCCCCCCCCCCCCCCCCCCGCCCCCCCCCCCCCCCCCCCCCCCCCCCGCCCCCCCCCCCCCCCCCCCCCCCCCCCCCCCCCCCCCCCCCCCCCCCCCCCCCCCCCCCGCCCCCCCCCCCCCCCCCCCCCCCCCCCCGCCCCCCCCCCCCCCCCCCCCCCCCCCCCCCCCCCCCCCCCCCGCCCCCCCCCCCCCCCCCCCCCCCCCCCCCCCCCCCCCCCCCCCCCCCCCCCCCGCCCCCCCCCCCCCCCCCCCCCCGCCCCCCCCCCCCCCCCCCCCCCCCCCCCCCCCCCCCCGCCCCCCCCCCCCCCCGCCCCCCCCCCCCCCCCCCCCCCCCCCCCCCCCCCCCCCCCCCCCCCCCCCCCCCCCCCCCCCCCCCCCCCCCCCCCCCCCCCCCCCCCCCCCCCCCCCCCCCCCCCCCCGCCCCCCCCCCCCCCCCCCCCCCCCCCCCCCCCCCCCCGCCCCCCCCCCCCCCCCCCCCCCCCCCCCCCCCCCCGCCCCCCCCCCCCCCCCGCCCCCCCCCCCCCCCCGCCCCCCCCCCCCCCCCCCCCCCGCCCCCCCCCCCCCCCCCCCCCGCCCCCCCCCCCCCCCCCCCCCCCGCCCCCCCCCCCCCCCCCCCCCCCCCCCCCCCCCCCCCCCCCCCCCCCCCCCCCCCCCCCCCCGCCCCCCCCCCCCCCCGCCCCCCCCCCG